AACATATAGTTTAGCTCACAGTATAATCTAATTATTACAAGACTAGACCTGATCACAAAGTGAAACTCCAAGGAAATACTGAAATGTGGAAAATATACTAATATGAACTATCAAAGGTGCAGCCATTTCAACCGTTTAAAATCTCCTCTGAAGAATTTATTGTTTTGGACAAAAGAGTGTAGCATGCTCATTTAAAAAGATAGTGTCTATAAAAATTAATGTCTAATCAATATAAAACCATAATTTCTTGAGATATGAGATATCAGTAAAGATGAAACTATAAAGTGTGAATCCTCAGATTCTATGATCTACATCAGAGTCTATGTGATCGGGCCGGAAAGAAAGCTCAGCATCTAAGGAAGCACACTTCCGTTCCAAAGTAATCAAGTTAGGGATGCCCATGTCTGACATCCCATAACTCTCCTTCACCCCTGCTCAAGGGAATCCAATACCCTCTCTTGGCTTCCTTGAGCACTACACTCACATACAAATCATGAAAAATAAAATTTGAATTAAAAATAAACTGTCCAGGCACAGTAGCATATACCTTAGATACCAGCACTTAGGAGACAGTGGCAGGTGGATACCTGTGAATTCAAGGCCAGCGTGATCCACACAGAGAGTTCCAGGATAGGCAGGGCTACATAGTGAGACCTTATTTTTAAAATAATAATAATAATAATTAAAAGCAACCTGATTAATCTAAGGAAACTCTAATAATTTATTCCCTGTAGTATCTATATTTATGAAGTGCTTACTAAGTATTAGGCTCTATACTTGGGTAAGAAGAAAACAACGTCAGTGCTCTCTAGAGTATAGGACCCAGACACTCTCTGTTTGGTAGGAAGCAAAATAAATAAAAAGCAGTCACAGGTATGCTTAACTTGTAACAGCCATGATTCTCCAGTCCACTTCTAGAAATGCTTCTGTCTCCATGTCTGGTGAGGACATGGGCTACTCCCATTCTTGTGTAAGCTATAGACAGGAAGGAATCTGAAGGGTCAAATTTCTACAAGACTCCAAAGGATCCCACACATTCATAGTTCCCATGAGTCTCCCACCATATGAATTCGCTTCTCTGTTAAGTGACCCAGCTTCTGTTCCATTTGACGTGAGGTTTGAGGGGCTTGTTTGCTGTCATTTGTTAAATGTGTTGCTTTAAAGTCCCAAAGATGCAACACATGGGGCAGGGCCTTTGGAGATCAGTGCTCACCGTCATTTTCCCATGCTTCTGCCTTGTAAAGGTCCCTGCTAATTTCCTACATATCCAGCCGCAAGCTCCCCTCACTAACCAGTCAAAAAAAAATCTTAAAATTTAAAAACCTTTCAGACAGTGGGGAATAAAAATAAAATGATCAAAGTCAGTAGACTGCCCAGAAAAGAGAATTCCAAATGAACACTGTGGTGTGGTATTTAAAAAATGAAGTGGCATTTACCACCTAAAATGTATAAACGGTAGCATCAGAGTTGGGCTAAAGCCTGACAGTGCTCTTGAGGAGACAAAGACTGAGAATCACATGGAACAAGGTGTCCTGAGAGGAGAGAGGGCATCTTATGATCTGGCTTCAGTCAGTTCAGGAGTATGAGGAAAATTCTGGAGGCTAGTGATAGATCATCTAAGCAGAGAGATGGAGCAATCTCTATGGTTTATAAAATACTAGGTGTGGTCTTTAGTCTCCCCAGTCACAGCTGTTGGAACCCTCCGATTCACGAGGTACCAAGCAGCCAGCATCGTCAGAGCAAACTGCAACGTGCCTCATTAGTAGGAAACATTCTAGACTAGAGTCACAGCACACATCTGTAAATTAAGATCTGGAAGGATAAAAAATTTAACTTACCCCATCCTAGTACCTATAATATCAGATTCAGTGTTCATTGATATCTTTGTTGGTCAGTTCCTGGTTTAGTTTTGGTTTTTAAGCCTGACACTAGCTTGGGTCATCTGGGAGTAAGGTACCTCTCAACTGAGAAAACACCTCCACTAGATTACCTATAAGCAAGTCTGTGGAAGGTGTTTTGCTTGATTTAATATTAATGTGGGAGACATAGCCCATCGTGGACAGTGCCATACCTGGGCAGGTAGCTCTGGGCTATATAAGAAAGCAAGCAAGAAAAACACAGAGAGCAATTCAGGAGGCATCACTCTTCCATGGTCCACGTCAGTTCTTTGCCCCTGGTTTCTACCTTGAGTTCCTGCCCTCCCTGCCCTGGCCACCCTCAGTATTAGACTGTGACCAGAAAGTTTTAAAATGAATAAACCTTCTCCTCCCCAAGTTGCTTTTGGTAGTGGTATTTATCACAGCAATGGAAAGAAAAGTAAGAAAAGAGTCAAAAGATTCAAAAATATTCAGTGAAATGTGAAAAGGCTTATAAAAGTATACTAGGGAAAAATAAGTCATAAATAAGAGAAAATAAATGAATAAAAATTGACCTAGAAATTAGAGATGATAAGACATATAGACAGTCAATCAGTCTTTGGACAGTTCTTAAATCACACTACTGCTCTACTGCATATATTCTAGGAAGAAGAAGGACAGTTGAGCATGCCTAGGTGTAAGCTCAAATCAAATTTCTAATAATAAAAACTAAAGTGACTGAAATAAAAAGAAATACACTGTGGTTATCAGCAGATTAGGGAATGCAGAAGAAAAAATTAGCTAACAGGTATACTGACAGAAACTATACACAGTGGGATGCAGATAAAACTAAGCAGACTGCAGGAAATAAGAGAGTGTCAGAAGGCAGTGAGAAAACTTAGGTCATCTACTATGTATAAAAGAGAAAAACATCTGAGCAAAAATAGCCAAACAGCTCACTAATTTTATGAAAGTTACTAACCTGCCTCACCCAAAACAAGCTAAGCACTAACACCTAAACGAATAGTGAAAAGTAATTGCTTAAAAGAGACAAACAAGCCAGGCCGTGGTCACGCACACCTCTAATCTTGGCACTCAGAAGGCAAAGACAGGAGGATCTCTGTGAGTTCAAGGCCAGCCTGGTCTACAAGAGCTAGTTTCCAAGACAGGCCCCAAAACTACAGAGAAACTCCATTTTGAGCTCCCCCCCCCCAAAAAAAAGAGAGAGAAAGAGACAAACAAAATTCTTTAAGGCACCCATTCTGTACAGATTGAATAAAAAGAATGATACTATATTTCCTATTGAAATAATAAAAGCCCTCAAAAAAGTGGAACAATATTTACATAGTCCTGCGAAAACCTCATCCAAAACATTTATATGTCGTCAAATTCATTTTCAAAACAGAAGAGAAATTATAACATTTCAGACATTAAAATGTTTAAAGAATTTGCCACCATTCAATTCCCACAGCAAGTAATATCAGAGACCTTAAGAAAATACTATTGAGTGAAATATGGACTATGCAAAGGAATTAAGGGCACTAGAAATCAGATAAGGCCTTTGGATCATAAAATGAATGTTTAAGCAAAAACAACACGATCATAGATGATAGCGTTAGACACGTTCCCCGGTGGAGTGAGTGCTTGTGCTGGAGTTGTTTAGGGCTAGTTCTGTGGTTCCTGCAGACTCAGACATGCAAGATGCCAAAAGTGAGTGAGCACTGAAGCGGATTGAGTTTTCTATAACTTTGGGAGCAAAAGGAAGTTTTCCCATAGAGTCCCACCATTTTCTCCTTAATCTCATGCCTGAGGGGAATTTATGCTTACAACTGTGCAGGACTTGTCCCTCACTCAAATCTCAAAATTTGCATCTGGAATGGAAGAAGAGAATGAAATCCAGGTTTCGAAGAAGAAACAGTCCATGAATACTTCTTGGGGTAAGTCCTGGCTGTGAGGAGAGAGGTTGGCTGTAAATACTGTCCACAGAACCGCCAAGAGAGTAGGTACCTCTGTAGCAAAACACAGACGTGAAGGACGCGTTCCAGAAAAGGTGTCACGCACAGTTCTTTAGGGCAATGTCTGAAAATGCAGTTCAGGAGTTTATAACTGAATGTGAAACTTAAGGGAAATTTATCGAGGGTAAGACATTCTGAAGCTATGACAAACGAAAATAAATTCTAAATCAAATGCATATGACATCTAAACTGACTGAGACACCAATCATCCGTGGGGTATCACGTGACTTCACTTTAGTCATGCCTCTAAACATGCGTGCATTTCACTGTGCATCCCCTCAAGGTTCACAGCACCAACTAAGAGTGCCTAAGCATCTCAGGCAAGTTCAAGACTCTTGTACATTGGGAGTTGTAGTGCTTTCCTGGACATATCAAGCTTTTTGTTCTTATAAAAAATATAAGTATAATTGCAGAAAGCAAAGACCAGTTACTTCCTAGGAAGCAGAAAGCCAGCAGTGAGAAGTTAAAACGAGGCAAGCTGACTATGTGTGGTGGTTCGCATAAGAACGCTCTTATGTTTGAATACTTGTCCCAAGTTGATAAACGTGTTTGGGAAGGAGGTGTGGCCTTGTTGGAGGGTATTTGTCACTGAGAGTGGGCTTGGAGGTTTCAACAGCCCGTGCTATTCCTGATTAGTGTGCTCTTGCTCTCAGCTAAATGCCGGCCTGCCTCCTGCAGTGTTCCCACCATGATGGTGACTCTAACTCTCTGTAGCCACAAGCCATGAATAGATATTTTCTTTCATAAGTTGCCTTGGTCATGGCATTTTGTCATGGAAATAGGATAGTAACTAAGACATTAGGTATAAGAAAAATAAGAGGCTAACCAGAAAGTACCTATAAACAAATGTAATGATACAGTTATATCACAGTTAGACCCACTAAGTCAGAGATAATAAACCAGCAGAGCTGTTTCTTGTCCTTGACTTTATTGCGACGTCATCAGCCTCATGAGCTTTCTTTCTCCCGTCATGCATCTGACAACATACCACATCCAGAAGACCATATTAGGCGAGAAAAGGGGAATAAGCACCGATAGAGGACAATCCTATCTCCTTCCTGCAACCCCCCATCTTCCTCACCTCCTGACTCCCACTGTAAATCACAGCTGAGCCTCTTTTCTGCTGAAGTTCGTACATCTGGCCCCTCTCATGGGACTTCTGAGAAACCTGTATGCAGTCCTTGGGTATGGGTGGACCTTTGCTGTCTGACAACGTTTCTCCCAATGGCTTATTTTGTCTCATCTCTGAATTTTTTCGTTAATACAGGGAAGAATGTATAAATACTGGTCAGAGGTCTCAATCAGCTCAAGCAATAAAAATGTGTGAAGGAGTCCTGTGTGGTGTAAATGCCTTTTATCCCAGCTCGTGGGAATCTGAGGCAGGAAGATCAAGAGTTCAAGGTTAGCCTGGGCTACAGAGGGAAATTTTGTCTCAAAAAAAAAAAGTTCTAAGAAGGACACGAAGATAATTCTTCAAATAGAGTGTGGTGAGTTATCCTTTGTAGGGGTAGACATCTGGTTTCCAATGCAAAGCTAAGTGTGTTAAAAAGAAAGGCACACTTTACATCATTTTTAAGAAAGCCATTTTGAAATCTGTGGAATCTTGAAAAGGAGCATTAGACACGTCTGTTTGTAGATGTATGGTCAGATCTTACAGAACATACAAAGAAATGATGTTTCTTCTGAAGAAAAGTAGCAAACACAGGAAAGGAAAACCATTGCCTCTGTATTTCTTCTGCTATTTGAATCTTGATTTTTCTCTTACTAACTGTATTGTTGCAATCATGGAGGATCACTGCCCATTAGCCATTCACCATTTTTATTAGGAGAGCCCTAATTTTGCTCAGGGCAATAGTCGGCTCTGCCCTAAGTAAATGACTGCATTTGATCTGTTAACATTCGCAATAAAAAGCTCCACACCTGATCTCTTACCCACTCCTGCCTATAAAGGAAACAGTGCAATTCCTATGTTAACGCAATAAGTAGGATCCAGAAGGAGCTCAAGTCTGCCTGAATCCCTCTCCCTCCTGTAAATGCAGACCGATGCCTAGTGCTGGAGCCCAGTCTCCAATCTGAAAAAGCAAAGAGGTTTTTGACGATGACATTGTTGAGACAGTAACTCAGAGCCAGGACCTTGACCTCTCATTACGTGAGATCTCAAGGGTATGACAGAAGGCAGCATCAGCACCACCTGACCCCAGATCTGCATCCAATCATCCAATCAGAAAATTGACAAGGTCCCCTGGGGATTGGGGATTTTCTTTCTCTCTCTCTCTCTCTCTCTCTCTCTCTCTCTCTCTCTCTCTCTCACACACACACACACACACACATATTGCAGTGTGAGAATCACTGCTGTGGAAGAANTTCCTCTTCACTCTTCTTACACAGAGAAACCCTCATAAAAAGAAAGAAGAAGAAGAAGAAGAAGAAGAAGAAGAAGAAGAAGAAGAAGAAGAAGAAGAAGAAGAAGAAGAAGAAGAAGAAGAAGAAGAAGAAGAAGAGAAGGAGGAGGAGGAGGGGGAGGAGGAGGAAGACAAAAAGAAAAAACAAATTGACCCCAGCTGCCCAAGTTGCTGATGAGTATTATATTAACTGAAGCTGAAGCCACTCAAAAACATTAGTATTTAATTGCATTCTCAATTTTAAAAAGAGAAGAAATCTAACTAAAATATAAGGTATGATGTAATAGCAAAACTATTAGCATGAACTTAAAAAATCGCAGAGAGACTTTATTTTTATTGTAGTTACAGAGGAACAAATAGCTAACAGTGTAAAAGAGGTTTCTAAAGATACTCAAGGATTTAAAAAAAAATGTATAAAATTGCCACAGATGTCAGTTCCTCCCCTGGTCCGGCTGAATAAAGACTGACTTGGCTGTAAAAGACTCCAGGAGTGGCTTAGCATAGCTGCAGACAGAAACATAAAAATAGACGGCATGCTAAGCAGCCAAGCTTTAAAATTTGTTACAGATTGCTCTTTATTCTAAACCTGAACCGTGGATATCGGTGCTAAACTAATTGTACCAACCAAAGCAGGTTCTTTCTGTGCTCTGTTCTTGTTGTCATTGTTGTTTTGCTTTGTGCTTTTTGTTTTGTTTTTGCTGGTTTTTAAACACTAGATGCTGACTAAAATGCACAGACTGAAATCACCTGCCCTCGGTCCAAACAAGCTCCCACCACTAGCAGGTTCTGCTCCCAGCTCAATTGGACTGCTTATGTGTCCTGGCTCTCCTGTAAAGAAATGTTGGGCTTGAATCCTGGATTGATTCCCCTGCTGTAGGACTGTCACTACAGAGGTCTGTAAAATTGCTCTTCCTTGAAGTCTCGGTTGTGAAGAGCTTTGCACTAACAAAATTTCACAGGATATGAAAGAGAAGCAGGAAAAGGCGACGGAATCAATCAGTTTTATGGTCATATTCTAAACATGTTCACAGGATAAAAAATGTACCTCGTTGGTAAACCAAAAAGGTACAGAGTGTGTTCCATAAATATATGTGTTAAATACGCATGCAAAGTTGGAGTGAAATGAGGAACAAGGAAATAACTTACATGCACACTTCCACCAAATAGGGCACAGTACCCCTGGGAGCGGAACTTCTAACCTTCTAACTCTTCCTAGGAAGAAGAGAAGAGGATGTTAGAATAATTTCAGCTTCATTTTCACATTTACACTTACAGTATTAGAATGATTGAAAACAACGCAATAATTCCATCAAGCTGCCTGAGCGTTCACAGAAATGTGGTGTTCTTTCTTGGGGCTACTCTTCAATAGACAAAGTCTACTAGGCGGTTTCCATCTTGGAGCACTCTACAGTTTGCAAAGCCTTTTTAACATACCCAACCTCTTTAACCTACTTGACAATGACCCCATCCCCCTGCCTGGCTCATAGTAAGTACTAAATCTTTCACTTGGTTATAGGTTGGCCTTCCTATAGAAATATAGTAGTTTGCTGTACCGGTAGAAGCACGTGCTGTCCTTGGATGAGCAAGAATTCTCTGGCTTGCTGCTGAGACTGGTTTTGAGGGAGGCAACCAAGACTGAAATAGTACATTTTCCCTGAGGCTGAGTGGGATTGCAATATATGACCTTGGGTTTCTGTCTGCAGATAATTGGCCTATTTCAAATAATTCCCTGACCTCCCTGAGCTTCACAAGCTCACTGGAGTCAGTTCCGCCCCAGATTCAGAACTCTCAGGGGCCCTTCCCACCCTCCCTTAACCTGAGCTCTCTGTTTGGCCTCTTTCCCCTCCCTCCACAGCCCTTCCCTTCCTGCCAGGCACCAATCCCGCAATAGTTTAGATGGATCCACTCAGAGACTGTGTTTCATAACATTGAAGATCCAATGGTGCGGGCTTTTCTCAGGCAATTATTTTTAAAACTATAGGTAAGAGGAGAAGGCTGGAGCCTAACTTTTAATGAGTAGACACTAAATTGTCATACCTTTAAGCAGTGTTCCAATTCAGAAACAGGCTTCTCCTCCAAGATTAATTACCACTGTCTGACACGATTACCCATTGAAATGTTTTATAAGCCCACAATACCAAGAGTTTCAAAAAGAGTCACACACCAGCAACTCCTATTACTGAAAACAGGAATATGACAACCAAACGGAATGTTCATCGGGAAGCTGCCCCCAGGCGGTTTTACCTGGCTCAGCCCCCCCTCCAGCAGGGGCTGGTGAAAAGTGAGTACGGGCTTTGACCTTGGCAGGACTACCTAGGACTTCTAGTAGGTTAAAGTCGCTTTAAAACACTTTTGAAAATAAGGCAGAGTTCTGTTGTCAACAACCAAATAAGCTGCCTGGCGTCACCTCTTCTGTTTCCTGACACACATTTGCATAGCAATTGCCAGAGAAAATCTCTCTTTTCCCTTCTAATTGGGTTGAATTGCTCCTAGATCTGTCTTCTAGTCCCCAAAAGCAATAATGAGGGGGTGGAATACGTTAAGCTAAAAGGTAGAATTATTTAAAATACTCACAAACTGATTTGAATACCAGAGTGAGTGTCTTGGGGCTCTCTCTGTGTGTCTTTTTCTCCCCTCCCTCTCTTTTGAGTGTATTTTCTTGGTCATGTTTTTGCTTACAGATCTGCAGTTATTTTTCCACCTTGCCTGAGAATGTGTAATTGTGCGTATATATGTGTCATTGAATTGGGCTAAAACATAGGCTGGTGTGAGCCCCTACTTTTGGAGAGTTATACCGAGAGCAATTTTACCCCCTCTCTTGGGCCCATAAACCAGGGGCGAGGAGAAGAGAAAGGAGAGAGCTGTCCTTGGATGGGTTTATACTTTGGAACTCATTCTTGCCAAGTTTAGAATGCTCAGGTTTCTAGTGGCCTTTGTTTCCTAACGTTTTGGGCCAGCAGGTGTAGCAATGCATACCTGTACTCCCAGCCCTCCAGTGGCAGAAGCAAGACTTTCACTGCGGGCTTAAGGATACCCCACTTTATCTAACAAGTTCCAGACCAGCCAAGGCAACATGGGGAGATCCTGTCTGAATGAGAAAAGGAAGAAATCATTTCCTCCTTGGCTTTCCTCTCCACACTGCACTCTCGGGCTTTCTTTCCTGAATCTGTCTTCTAAATAGGAAAAATTACAGACAACTATGCTGTGAGGATACCTATGAAGCACTGTCTCTCTCCCAAAGGTGTTTTCAATGTTTAACTTAACTCACTAGCCTAAGCATGCTACATCAGACACATAGAGAAACACACTTGAATCTTTCCATGACATCAGATTTTATTTTCTTAAATGACACATGTAATGTGTCAGATATTTCCAGTTTTCTTGATAGTCCCATCTCATTGAATGTATTCTTTAATTCCAGTCTTAACTATAAATAGTAACTCACAGATTGTATGTCACATATCTATGAATCTATGAAAGTGTCTATATATCAGTTACAGAACATCTACAGTGGGCTAAAACAAAGCAACACAAGTGGAGATGCTTCAAAATCCTAAGAAGCCTCTATTGGTAAGGTACTGGAAAATCAAAGGATCCATAGGTTTTGTTGGAAAAGCACCTATAGCTGCTACAGGGTCAGGCTTCAGAATCAGAGGTGGACTATGAGAGAGAAGAGACTTGAAGGGCAGGACTCTATTCAGATGGATAAACATAGCACAGATGGATAAATCTGGATAAACCTGGATAGATCACAAGTCCAGAAAGAAGAAAGGATATGTGGACAGATGAAGCAGGCCAAGTGAGCAGTGGGAATCAAACTGAGTTGAAGTCACTGGGAAGTGGGACGTGTTTTCTTCTGTCCACCACTGGTGCACACATTAAGGGATTAAATGACAAGAATAGTGGGGACCACAAACCCATGAAGGAGTTGTGAGGGAGTGCACCCTTTCCTTCATCTGGTGTGTCCAGAAAGTAATTAGAGGTGATTATCCTGATATGGTCTTGCTACACCATGTACCCCATTATCTTTTCACCGTTCTGCCATCAGAAATGCGTCATTTCTGTCTATGCTACATGGGCGGTGCCAGAGAGGTGGTGCCACTCAAGTGCCCACCTTCTTCCACAGTCAGCCTCCAGCCTAAAATTAAGCCTCTCAGGGAAAGGCGTAGTTGGAAAAGTCACTCTTCTAACAATATAAAGTAACTTCTACAGGGCCCAGGTTGATCTCAACTTCAATTAAAAGATAATTGCAAAGTTTTAAATTAGGCTTTATCATGCTTTGCTGTTGTGGTTGCTGCTGCTGCTCTTTATTTTGTTTTTATTTCTTTGTTTTTATTGTTCCTTTTATTTGTGAAATTATAATACAACTCCATCATTTCTACCTTCCCTTTCCTCCTTCCAAACTCTCCAATATACTTCTCTGCTCTCTTTCAAATTCATGTCCTATTTTTTAATTGTTAATGCATGCATAATATAATATCTTATATATGATATTATGTATTTCTAAATAAAACATACATATTTCTAAATAAAAAACCTGCTCAGTCTGCACAATGTTCCTTGCTTACATGTTTTCAGGATGACCATTTAATATTTGAATGACACATTGGTGTACTTTTCTCCCTCTGGGCTCCCAAAACATTTCAAGGTACTTATGATCTGAATTGAAACATTTTTTTTTCTAGAAAGAAAATGGAGGCTCATAAGACTGAAGGAGCTAACTAATTTTAGGACAGCTCAGAAAAATCACAAAAGTTACAATATTCACAAGATCCTTCCCCAAGTTTACTAACTGTTAGGCAGAAGAGCTTCTTCCACGGCGGTTGCTGGCACAGGGCAACAGGCTTCAGGATTGCAGCTTTTCTGAGCTGCAATTCTCTGTGAGCATTTATTAGTGATTCACTCATAAAGTTTCTATACTTTCTCGCCCATGCCCCCCAATAATAATCCCAATTAATTCACTCATAAACATCCATCTAGACTTGGATAGAATGATTTTTTTTTAAGTCTCATTTTGGTTCCTTATATGGAGAAAATGGATATGCCTAGAAGACCTTACTCTCATTCCTTCATGTCAGTTTTGGGTTCTCTGCAAGACAAAGAGGGAAACACAAGACAGTGATAATATCATATGAAATTTCATTCATAAGATCACAGCAGTGCTGTCTGCAATAGGAAGATTGGGAGATAGCAGAGGGTGGAGACATGGTTTTAAACTGTGGCCCCAGAAGACTGGGTTCTTTTCACAAGCCTCTACGCAGATGAAGTGAGATTTGTGTTTTAAAAGCCACACAAAAGATCTTCAGGATGATTCAGGGTGAGGAAGAGTTGGATTTTCTTAGGCACTGATTTTTAGCATAGATTTAAGTAGGATTTTAGAGGCGAAAGACGAGAGAGCTTAGGGAAAGAACCCAATGTACCCAGGTGTAGTTGTGGCTCACCTTTAAGTACCTTGAGAATGGTGTATACAGGCTTTTGAAGCCACAGCGATCAAAAGGTAGAAGAATTAAGTACCCTAGTGCCATCATGGGGTATATCCTGAGATACTTGAGTAGGGCTATAGGCAGATAGACAGAAACATGAGTCAAAGGGTCAAAGGAATCTTCAAGATAGATAGGTCACGGAAAGCTAAGACTATAAAAGCGTTTGCAATCTCTTTTGTGAGATTCTCAGAAAATTGCAGGTTTAAGGAAGGGATAGGAATAAAGTAAAGCTCAAAGATCATACACACTGACCTTAAACACAGTTTATTGCTATTTTAACATTCTAATTCG